GGCGAAAATGTTGCAGTTTTCCGCAGCATTTCTCTTACATTTTTACTTTGATCAATTGTCGTTCCATTATAACGGGTTTATTTAGTAACACAAAACATTATTTTATAATAAATAAATACGCTCTCACAAAATTTCAATCCAAGCACCTTATCGCGTGTCGGATTGGCAACGGATTAGGTAGTGTCGAAGCACCATACGCGGCACAACCCTGGTAGTTCCAAGCATGTCGAAAAGATGCTGCGCCGCGACTAGGTGGTACGAACCAACGTTAGTCTGACTAGCGGATAGTAATAGGGTAGAGTTCAAGCAGTAATACAAGCAAAAACGTAAGAGATGCTAAACAAGCGCATTATGAGGCTAGAATGAATGAAAGAAAGTAAAAATGGGCTTCATTATCTCGCACGCCCATTGGCCTGGTCTACAGCGACGGGTCGGCATCCGGAGGGGAAGGGTTCCTAAGAGCCTCAGATATTATACGGCTGCCGCCAACAGATGGCCTGGACCTCTTGATATGCATCTGGAGCTCTAACTTGCTGTCGAGGAATGAACTCACGAACCATTTTCTTCAGTAAATTGATAAAAAATCATATGACGCCCTCTGTGTTATGAAATACGGCAAGGGATCGAACACACCGTAACTCTGAGAGGTGGAAAAACGATTTTGCTCGGCGCTGGTAAAGAACGGAGGAACGATGGTAGAATCGAATTTAGTCAGCAGGCAACGGTCTCCACAAATCATTTCCAGTCGTCACGAACGGACATGCTTCTCAAGATTGATTCTAGTAAAACTCAGGATCGTCCTGTTCTACGCTCCTACCATGGCTAGCAGGTGAAACAGTTCTATACTGAGCAGGAATCCATGTTATTCGTCCAGTCCACACATGCGATCTCTAGGGAAGACTTTAATGCAAAGCCTGAACAAGGGGGAAAATGAAGCGAAGCACGTTGGCAAATACAGCACTTGCAAGGGAAACAGCAGAGATGTTAGGCTAGCTACAATGGCAGAGAGGAAAAAACTGTTCATTGGCAGTGCTTGGCGAATTTCCAAGGATGTATGTGCAATATCCTCCCTCAATACGGGAAGCGATCCCCTATGCTGTGAGCCAGAATACATATTGCTCCCACTCATGAAAGAAAGACACGGCATATGGCAATCCAGTGTAACAGGCCAGAAAAATTGATGATGAGGAAATGGAGCAGCATGTCGGGAATATCGATTGGACCATGACGGCGAATATTGACAGAAACTACAAATGCTTTGTTGATAAGGTTTATGAGTGGGTGAAACGAACCGAATGTATTCGATCTCAGAGGTCAAAATTCGAGGATACCCACAGCTACAGAAGTGATGTTAAAAAAGAGAAGAAATATAACCTACTCGAAAGTGTACCGGCTGCCGGTACGAGGATGCGTTTTTTGCACAGTTCCCCCCGCAGGTTTTTTT